AAAAAAAAAAAGAACTACGATATATTTAGTATCTCAATGCTCCTCTTGCATTAAAATGACAGGTATTAATCTCAACGGCAAAGATCTGCCCTTGTAAGAAATTTTACGGTAAAATGTCCCTTAGCACTAGCCCCATGCTCAGTGTAAACAGAGATCAGTTAAGAAATCAGTCTGTCCAAAGCAACAACTCATAGTTTACAGCTCATAGTTGGACTGTACTTGCATAAATTCCTCATATCGAGAGTACCTTAAAATCTACGACCTTGGATAAATATTGATGTTATCAATAAATTACCTATACCCAGGGGGATGATTGACAGTGTTTTTCTTTTCTGTTGTTAGGATTTGGGGGGGGTGGTGGGGGTGTTGTTGGTTTTTGGTTTTGTCATAATATGACCAATGGATTCTGGGTTCCCACTTAATTCTAACCCCAATCCAAGAACAGTTAGTTATTATAACATGGCCCTGCTCGATATTCACCTTCATGAAGAAATTACTGAAGATAAGGGTGCTACAGCACAGTGTGGTAAAGAAAGCAGAGGGTGTCCAGCTGTCAATTGGAATAGTTTCTTGGGCCTTAAAGGCTTGTATTCAAACAAGAACCACTTAAATGAGACATCAACCTAGTCCACATCGAAGAAACACACCAGCCTGTGTGATCCGAAGATGATGATAACAAGATCCAAATATGACAGGAAATGTATCAGAGCTTCAGTTGTGAGCACCCAATTTGTAGAAGGCTCTGAAGGACAGGGGAGCCCCAAATCCATCTTCAGAATATTTAGTCACATTAAGCCGCTGGCAGATCCCCTCCAGCCTCTGGCAAGGGACTCAAACAGCTTTACTCTCAGACAGAGATTATTGTAGAGTTGATTATGGTGGATCCAATCATGGTATAATATATACTTGATCAGCTGACCTACCTCTTAACCCGACCTGAATTTGCTCTAGGCTTAAATATTTCTTCCTTGTTCTATGACAGAGATTTCTTCTCTGGCTTTTAAAATATTGTTAGTCATCTTTTCTTTTTATTTTTATCATTATTATTATTTTTTCTTTCTGGTTTGTTTTGTTTTTGTTTGTTTTTTTGTTTCTCTCAGGTTTCCCAGTTTTTGAATGCCAGAAGGAGTGGATGCATAGAGACTATAACTGATGCAATGGTTTATTGGCAAGGGGGGTCTTGAGGGGAATTGGGGAACAATTAATGCATGTAGGAGAGGGGAGGGAGCACTACAACTGATTGTGATGATGTACCTATTACTATTTTTTGAAGCAATTTTACTATGGAAGTGTATGATATGTGAATGTTATATCAAGAAAATTACTTAAAAAAAAGAAAGAAAGAATCCCAACTTGACCTATGGTTAGCATGGGTGAGGAAGAAGAGTTTTTGCTTAGGGAGCATTTAGTTTATGTTAATGGTGGTGGAATAATTTGGGAAAGGATATCACTAATGGTTGTACAATAGGAAGCATGTAATCAATTGTACTGGATTATAATGAAGAACATGTTGAAATGAGGAATTTTTTGTTTTGAATATTTTTACCACAATGAAAAAATAAAGGCAAAGCACAAACACACAGCGACACACACAAACCAGTCACAGGGTTTCCAGGCCTGTAAATCTTTATAGAAACAAACTTCCCTACGTCTTTTTCCCATGGAGTTTGTGAGTATCTCTGTGTTTGTGCTTTGCCTTTATGTTATTTTGTTTTTTTATTTAAAGAGAGCATTTATTAAGCCTTAAGCGGAACAACAAGAGTACTCCAGAGATATATCATTTTGGTGAGGGCGACCATCAGCCAAGATTATAATGGTGTCCAAGGGTTTGCTGAGATATAGAGCTTTAAACAGGTCCAGGATATGGAGGTCAAAGAAGGCTGTCCCAAAACATGGTTGTTGGCAGATCAACACGTCATTGTTAATGGTGGGTATTAGAGCCATAATTGGGACACAAACACTATGTTAGAGGAGCTTACAGTATTTGGTTCATGAGCTTCACCAAGGCAGTCATGACCAGGAGACCCACAGTACGGTGATCTCCATCAAAGGCACGCCCAGGCAAAGCTTCTAGAGCAGTGGTTTTCAAGCTTCCTAATGCTGCGGCCCTTTAATACGGTTCCTCATGTTGTGGTGACCCCCCAACCATAAAATTATTTTTGTTGTTACTTCATAACTGTAATTTTGCTACCATTAGGAATCCCAAGTGACCTCTGTGAAAGGGTAGTTCAACCCTCAAAGGCGTTGCGACCCACAGGTTGAGAACCACTTTTCTAGAAATTGTTCTTTTAGACTCCTCCCAGAGATAAATTGAGTTTTAGGGATTGTAAGGTAGTCGAGAGGTGCCAGAAACCAAATCAGTCGAATTAGAGCAAGCAGGCTTTATTGGGGAGAAAAACCCAGCTTGGGTGAAGTCCCATGGTCCACAGTGTCCGGGCCAAGGGAGTCATGCCCCAGGCTACAGGGGTGGTGCTTATATGGTCAGGGAACATGTGACTGGGCTGTCTTGAGTCCATATAAGGTAAAGTAGTCAGAGATTGGGAGATACAGGTATGTTGGGTTTCTGAAATGTAAGGTGTCTTCCTGGTTCCGGGTGTATTCATGCCGCATGCAGAGTGGCCAAGAACAAAGCGGGCACTGAGCCAAACAAGCCGAGCTGGGTGCAGAGCATTGGGTCAGCTCCGCAGGTGTGTGTGGGAAATTCAAGGTCACTCACTGCTAGTTGTTTCAGCTAGCTCTGGTCAGCTCTGCACGGGTGTGGAAGACTCAAGGTCACTTGCTGCTAGAAGCTGGCCTGGGATTGATCCAGCCATACAGGAATGGCTATAGCTTAAATTAGATTGAGTTTACCTGTAATTAACCTGAACTCTAACTTCCCCTTTTATATTATGTCAACATTTGAACTGGTACTAATTTGTACTACACTTTTAGATATACTTTTATTCAAAATATCTTTGAACCAATTGTTTATCTTCAAGGCTTTATGACCCCAGATGCTTTATCTTTTGAGAGCAGGGCACCATCAGCTTTCTTCACCACATTTGCTTATGCACCCACTTTGTCTTCAGTGATCGTATCGGAAGGGTGAACATCATGGAATGCCAGTTTAATAGAACAAAGTGTTCTTGCATTGAGGGAGTACTTGAATAGAGGCCCAATGTCATTTTGCTATCTTAATACTAACCTATAAATATATGCACATAGATCTATCTCCCCATCATCATATGTAAATATATTTACATATGTACATGCCTGTATTTAGACCTCTATAAATGCCCTTTGACCCTAGTTCTTTCCTCTATTTCCTTTGTCCCACTATCATACCCAGCCTTCATTTGGGTTTCAGCAATTCCTCTCAGTTACAATGCCCTGGATCAAGCCCTACCAAGCCATCCAACACCCTCCTTCCCATCGGTTTTGGATCCCTTGTTGTTCCCTTGTCCCTGGGTTTGTTAACACCCACTTCCTTTCTCCCATGTCCCCCCCACCACCACCATTGGTCCTGTTGTTTTCTCCTCTAGATTGTTTATCCCGCCTATCTTATCTAGATAGACCTGCAGAGATAATAATATGCACATCAAACAAGATGAAGCAAAACAGCAACAAAAGAAAAGAAACAACAACAAAAAATGACAAAAAAAGAGAAAAGCCTGTAAACAGTTCAAGGTCTGTTTGTTGACCTTTTGGAGTGTTTTCCAGTCAAATCTGATGGGGTGCCATGCCATGCCCCCAAAATCTATTTTCAGTATTTTCTCGGGACTTCCTTGCACTGCTCCCTTGCTGTTCTGTTGCACGCCCTTAGTGTGTTTTGCCTCCGTATGGTGGGATCAGATCAGGCGCAATTCCCACACTGTGTCTCCAGTGTTGTCCCCCATAGGGCTATGGGTCAGTGAGGGATGTTGTGTCTCCTAGTGGGGCCAGCCATATGGTCCCCTCTGTGTATTGGATACTCTGAGCAGGGATATTGTCTTCAAGGCTTTGTGGGCCAGGTTGTGCTCCGCTCTCTCTTTCTCCCCCTTCATTTGCTCCTGTGTGCTCTGATGAGACATGCCCTTCTCCCTGAGCTGTAGCTTCAGAGAAGCAACAAAGCCTACATGGAAGAAGCCCACCAGCCTGTGCGATGGCGAGGTGTCGATGGGATCAGGGATCAGGCATCAAAGAACACAAAATAATATCATTGTGAATGAGGGGGAGTGCAGAGTGGGGACCTAGGGCGTATCTGTGGGCAATTGAACATCCTTTTGCAGAAGGGTCACAGGGAGGAGACAAGCCAGTCAGGGTGCAGTATAGCAACAATGAAACGTACAACTTTCCTCTAGTTCTTCTATGCTTTCCCCACACAAACACACCCCACTATCATGATCCCAATTCTACCTTACAAATCTGGCCAGACCAAAGGATGTACAGTGGTACAAGTAAGAGCTGGAAACACAGGGAATCCACAACAGATAAACCCCTCAGGACCAATAATGTGAGTGGCGATTACAGGAGGGGAAGGGAAAAGTGGGGTAGAAAGGGGGAACTGATCACAAAGATCTACATATAACCCCCTCCCTGGGGGATGGACAACAGAAAAGTGGGTGAAAGGAGATGTCAGATAGTGTAAGACATGACAAAATAATAATAATTTATAAATTATAAATGGTTGGTGAGGGAGGGGGAAATGAGCTGATACCATGTTTTGAGAATGATGATGGCAACAAATGTACAAATGTGCTTGACACACTGGATGTATGTATGAATTGTGATAAGAATTGTGAGCCCCCAATAAAATGATTTTAAATTAGATTAAAAAATGTCTTTGAACCTTTGGAATCAACTTTGTCAATGACCTGGAATCCAAGCATGCTGATCATTTATTGGTCTTTGACTTCTCTATGCTTTGAGCTCTTACTCTACTGCTGCTTTCTTGGGTGGTATGTAGGAATATTTGACTGAGCCCTTTGTTTTTGCATGTGCATATCTTTCAGACTCCTGACTTGGGGTGTAGCTGATTTCTCTTCATCTCTGCAGACTAACTGTGCCATGGCAAGCCAAGGCTTCCTGCCACAGGTACACAGAGCAGGCATTAGATCCCAGGTAAGGAAACTGCTTCAACTGTCGCTCACGTATGAAGGGCACATTTTGCTCTGTGTTTCAACTCACCAAGGCGTCCTGATAGGGCAAGCTTAACTGTGTGCCACCTGTAGAGTTCTCTCCTCGGACTTCAGACTTAGTGGGACATTGTTTAATACTCTGCTGTCAACATCTTAATATTTTTTAAGCAAGGAACTCTGCTTTGAGATTTTGCACTGGGCCACACAATTTACGTAGATAGCGCTTTCCCCTGACATCTCATGCTTCTCACTAACCCCATAGAAACATGTGATTTGCATTTTACCCACTCTTTTTGGTTGTTGTTACCATGGAAGTGTACATTATTGGAAACCGGGAAGTCTATTTCATGTATGCCTCACCTTCCTTTTAAGTTAGCCCCTAGAGAGCTAGAGAAATTTCTACCTGAAATTGGCTTTAACTTTCCTAAGTGAGTGACACTGTTTTATTCACTTTTCTAATATCCCATAATTGAAGCGTGGGGACTATTTTGGGTATTTTGTGCTAAAAGAGGCTTGACAGACATTACAAGAAAAAAAATCAACATCTAAATTGTTGAATTATGCTCTTTTATATTCTGTGTATTTCAAAATATACTACAAGCTTCCATCTAGCCACTATCTGGGAAGATATTCTATCATTGCCCAGTAAGCAGCAGCATGAAGCCAATCCCCCAAAATGTGGAGATTGAAGTGGTCCTTACATTCACCATTCTCATCACCAGCCACCCCACAGGATTCCCTTCCTCTAGCCCTAGTCACTCAGAGCCGGGTCAGAGCTCACAAGTTAAAAGGACACCATATTTCAGACTGCCAAATAGGCAGGCACTAGCTGCAAGTTTGGAGAGCCAAGATGATAACCCACCTCCAGAGCTGCTAGCCACAAATGAAGGGGTGTTTTCCCCTTCCCCTTTCAGGATGGCAGCTATAAGCTCAAGAGAACACAAACAAAGAGACAAATAGCGTGAAGCCTCCATGTCCCAAGGAATGTGTTATTCTCCCAAGAATATTTGTCCTTATCACACAGGACTCTGGTGT